AATCTTATATAAGCTTATATAAATTTTTATTATCTTTTTCTAATTAATATAAATTATATTTTTAATAGATTATAATAATTATATAATATAATATATTAAATTAAAGTATTTTATTTATTTTTTATTTTGAATTTTACATTTTTAATAAGGTTTTAATATAATTTTACTAAATTTATCTTTTTCTATTTAAGCAATTACAAAACCTTTAGGTTTTATTTAATAACCTAATATATATTATTATATTTATTATATATTTTATAATTATATAATAATAATTAATAATTATTTTTTATTATTTTCATTCTGATTTATTATCAATTAAATACTTTGTAAATAATCAATGAATTATAATCATTTTATTCTTATATTAATAAAAAATTTAATTATTTTATTTTATTTTATTCTTTAAATCTTATAAAATTTTTTTTATAAATAGAATATATTTCAATTTCATTATACATATAATCTTAAATTATTTTATAAATATCAAATATTTTTATATTCAAAACTAAATTATTCAATATTTGATTTATTTAACTTTTTTACAATTCATTTACAATTTTTATCTAAAAATTTAAAAGAAATTTCTTACTATTATTAATCTATCTCTTTTACTAATTAAAATAAAATATAACTTAAAAATTTATAAATTTCATTAATAAATTTAATTAATTAATAATATAATTTTATTAATAATATTATGATTATTTCTGTTATTTTTTATAATTTTAACTATTAATTATCACTTATTTTAGTAATAATTTGTAAAATTAACTATTAACCTTCTATTTAAAATATTTTATTATCTATTAATTCTAAAAGGTCATATTATATTATTTATATAGATTGATAGTAACTTCTAAAATAAAACCTTATAAAATTATTTTATCATTAAGTTTTTCTAATAATAAATAAAGTTTGCATTATTTTATTTATTAGAATTAATTGAATTTAGAACTAGATAGTTTAAAAAAATAAAAAAAAACTAAATATATCATATGTTAAACAATGATAATAAAAATATTACTTTATATCATGACGTAACAAATCTTTTGATTTTTTTTCTAAATATATATTATGAAATATTTGAATTATAAACTGAAGTCAAAAATTATCATAGTTTAAGTTTCATTAATATTATTTATATTTATTAATTTTTGATAAAGAATATAGTTAACTCTTATTAAAATAAACTATATCCTAGACCTTAACTTCACTATAAGACTATAGTAAAGATTTTAAGAAATTTGATTGGCCAATTTACTATAACAATATTTTTATTATATTTATTCAAAAAATTTGTTATATCAAAAGTTCGCTATATCAAGAGTTGATTGTATTACTTTTAAAATAGTTAAAAGATATTCTGTTGAAGTTTTAAAATAAAAGTATATATATCTAAAAATATTTTTTTTGTAAGCTGATAAATAACCCTAGTTTTCATTTCCTTTTATAATTACACCTTCTAAGGCTTAAATTAAAAAGTATGATTATAATAAAAAGTTACTATACAGAAAGATTTTATATGTTGTTACTAAGTTTTAGATGTAATTATAAAAATACTGTAATTATAAAGAGATTTTTTTATATAGTATTAATAAGTATTAGTTCTTATGAAATATATGCTTATAATGAGAGATCTATATTATATAAATATATAGAAGGTGATTATAAAATGGGATGACTGTAGTTTAATAATTGATAATTAAAATATTTATCTGAATTAAAAAATTATATTTAGTTGTTCTTTCAGTTCACCTATAGAATTATTATTTTTTTATAATCAATTTGAAACGATTTATCTAATTTTAATAAAATAATAGCTAATATTAATAAGTTAATGATAGATGTTTTAAAAAAACATATATTGTATTTATCATGCATTATAATTTTATTAATTTTTATAGCAATAAAATGTTTTATTTTAATGAAAATTAATATTTTAAAAGTATTAAAATATTATGTAAATAAAATATAAATAAAATGTAAACTAACTATAACAAAAAATAAAAATTCACATGATATCATCTTTATTAATGATTTTATCATTATTATTAATTCATCATCATTATTGATTTTATTATCATCATTAATATTATTATTATTATTAATATCATAATCAATATTATTATTGATATTATTATTAAAAACTTTTAATTTAAGCCTAAATAATTAAAAATTACACTTTTTAAAGGATTTGATAATAACTTCTGTAAAAATACCTCTCAAGTATATTTAACTATAAATATATATCACTAAATTTAATATAATAAAGATTTCTTACAGCAGTTTTTCTGCATTACTACTCACTATTTATGCATATAATTCTTTATGAAGATTTACCTTTGAATGATTTATTTATTGAAATATAGAGTAGTTGATTTACGCTAATTAATCTATATGAAATTACTACAAAATAAATGTTACTTATATGAAACTTTTCTTTAACTAATTTTTTAAATAACTTGAAAAACTTGAAAAAATTATATATAAGTATTGACAAATCTTTATAAATTTCATTTTAACTTGTAAATTATTAAAATAATTAATGTAACTTATCATCAGGTTAGTATCTATCTAACTTTTATTCTAAAACTAAATAATAATTCTAAAAGTAATTTTTTTCTATATGACATTTACTTATTTTTAGAAATGCATATTTAAATTCATTTACAGTAAAGTAATAAAATTAAAAAATAAATAAATTGTCAATTTATAAGAAATCATTAAATAAAAGAAAAAAAAAGTTAAAATTGAAAAGAAAAAAAACAGAAAAAATAATGGATAATACCTGCAATAATCATAAAAATGATAATAAATCAATTTTTCTCATTTTTAGTTATGTAAACATGAATAGATTTCTCTTTTTTTAGGTTAAATAGATAAATAACTGATTATATTGAATTATATTGATATTTCTAATAATTATTTAGTTCTATAATAAATCTGATATAAATTAATTTTATATTAACTATTTTTATCTAAAATAATTTTAAGCAAAAAAACTAACCTCATTGATCAAACTATACTTATAATAAATATTATTAATTTCTGAAATTTTGATATATTTTTTATTAAAAGTAATAATAATAAAGATATTATTTTTTTTGTAAACCACAGCATCTCTATTATCTGATTTGATTCATTGTTTATTAGATTAATTGGGTAATAAAAGATTTATTTAAAAATAAACAATAAAAAAATAAATTAAATTTTTTTATTATTTACCAAAATCAAAATATTATCAATATTTATTAAAATGAATCACAAAGTTATAAAATTCTTTTGAGACAGGAATGTATATAATGTAAGAAAAATTTTTACTAAACTAGAATTCTCTTGTGATTTTATAAAAGATATATTGTCTTTTTATAAAAAAATAACAATATTTCTGAAATTTATAGACCTAATCAACTATAAAAATTGATATTCTAAAAATGCTATTATATTAGAATAATTATCAAGAAAGATTATTTTATTATAATGTATTTGAACTTAAAGGTTAGTAAAATAACTATCTGACAAGAACTTAATATTTCAGTTATATAGCAGTTTTTTCCTAAAAAGTACCTCTTGATCTAAAAAGTAAAAGACAATCATTTGTCTTAGATGCATGATCACTTGCATTATGATTAGAAAAAAGTGATTTTTTCTGATGAAACTATGATCTAAATATTTTATAATACAACTTTAGCATAGTCTAAAAATGAGAATCCTATATGTTTAAACTGCAATTAATGTTAAGAAAAAGGTTGGCATGCATATGTTTACTGAAAAACTTGTATTACCAAATTCTTAATGATCATCTCTTTGATAATGCAAGTGAATTACTAAGTCATAACTGGATTTTCAGTAAGATAATGATCCAAAATATATTTTCAAAGATGTTAAAAAAGATTTGAAAACTCACTTTCTGAATCAGATTCTTTTTGGCATTCTTATAGTTCAAATCTCAATCCAATTAAAATATTTGGGCTGTTTTTAAAAAAAAATTATGAAAAATATAATTTTTTTAATGTAATTCATGAAAAATAGGATAATCTTAATAACTTTATATTACTTAACTGTATTAATAGCATGCCTAATTGAATTCAAGCATGTATTGATGCAAATGGAGAACATACTACATATTAATTACTAATAAAATTTATAAATATTGTTTTTATCTTTATATTAAAAAAAATTTACTTATATTTGATATAAATTACGTGAATAAGGTTATAAAACTGTCAGTCATTACTTTTGATGAGGACTGTAATATCAATGTATATATCCTGTATAATATTTAAATCAAATCAGATCTTCTCAATTAATTATCTGTTAAATCCTAATTAATATTATAATATTTATTAAATTAAACTAGGATTTCCGCTTGAAAATAGAATATTCGAATATTTGTTTGTAAATAAAATTCAAGTATTCGAAAATAAATAATTAATGTTCGAATATTGAAATTTCAATTTCGAATATCGAAAATTGAAATTCATTTCGGATATCAAATTGATTTCGAATATCGAATCGATTATTTATTTTAAAATAAATGAAATAAATAAAAAAATAATATAAAAAAATAAAGCTAAAGCTTTTGAAATTATTTTAAAAACTTTCAAATATTTGAAATGCAATTTGTATTTCAAACGGAAACCCTAATTTAAACTATTTTTTATATAATATAAAATGATTTTAAATTTATTGGATTTAAGCTTAATTTGTAATTTATTAAAATTTAAATTTAAGTTAATTATTAAAAGTGAAACTTTTTTAAACTATAAAAATACTTATCCTATACCTATATTATAAATATAAATAATAAAATTTATCTATAACAACATTTCATTATATTAAAATAAAATATTTTAAAAAAAAACTTAAAATTAATTAAAAAAAAGGTATATTTAATAATAAAAACAATTTCTATAATAAAATATCTAAAAACAACATCAATAAGATTAGTATAGAAAAGTCACTTTAGGCGAATAAGCTGAATAATAAATAAAAAATCAATTATGTTTAACTGTTGAAACTTCAGAAAAGGGAATTGTTATTAATATTATAATCATTTAATCTTTGAAATGATAAAACTTACTATTCACTATATAACTTACCAAAATAACAGCCATCGGCATTGGTCCATGAAACATAATTTCTATCTGGAGGATAAGAATACTTGGCGACTTTTAAAATCGATTCCGGGCCATTACGATTAGCACCAGTTCTGAAGTCTTTAAGACTTATAATTTTAGCTCCTTCCTTCATATCCAAGAATAATCTTGTAAGGGCTTCATTCGTCGATGAAGTAAATGCGTAATTATTAGTGAGAACTATGTCTGCTTTCCTTAATAAACGGACCACATAATCCGAATTGAGAAAGTCAGCTTTCATTACTTCTACTGTACCGGTTTGATCTAAACCCCATAAACTTATAAAAATAAACAATTTTGTAAATAAATAAAATATTTTATATGTTAAATACTATCAATCAACAAATTACTTACGCCATCCTGCCTTTATATTCATTTACTTGTCTATCTGCTATATCGAATCGCGCTTCATTAAATTCTACACCATAAGAATCACACCCGATCCTAGAATTTACGTGAATGACTATATTACCAATACCACATCCTAAATCAATAAAAGTTGAATTGTCATTGATTCCTGCTTTTTGGATCATTTCTTCAACAAGAGCAAACTGTAATTCGCCATAAGTAGCATCAGAAAAAGCTAAAAGATTAATATAAGATAATATATATGTAAAATGAAACTTTTAGTAAAATCAGTTAATAGCTCGAAAATTTGACAATATATAAACATACATTTTGCCTTTGTAATATTTGGTAAATCAGTTTCACTACAGCAACGAGCATATATTTGCTCCAATATAAATTCTAAAAAGCAACTCTCAGGTTTCCTCGCATTAAGAAACGATTTTAAGTCATTATTTTGAACCAAGTCATCCATCTGACTATTGAAGCTATTTATTGCTTCAATAAACTTATCCTTACGCTTGGTTCTTAAAGAAGATCGGAGGTCCCTGTATATTGAATTTTGGTTTCTAATCCTTCCTTCTTTAGAATAAGTAAAACGTTTTTGGATGTCGGTATGTGGCTTAGGATCTGAATGTTCATCAACTTCATCATCTGCTTTAACTCCATTATTAATAAAATAAAAAATAAACGTTTCTACAAATCTAAATAATTCGTCTACAGGGTCATATTCAAATTTTGATGAACTTGCTAAAGCAAACCTAATATATATATATAATGTTAGATATTTGATCAAATTCACTAAGTGAATCGATAACATACTTCTCTTTTTGACCACTTGGGTAAATGATGTCTATAACAGCATAGTCATCATCATCATCTTGAAAATCTGTTGATACTAATAATTTAATATAAATTCGTTATTTAAGTAATTAAAAATTTTTTAATAACTTACATTTGGTATAACAATAAGTGTTTTTTTTATTCTTTTGTTTTGAACTGCTTTGTTTAGCAAAGGTATTCAGTTCTAGTACCAAATCGTAAGAATTCAAAAATACACCGGGACGGGTTAACGAACTATGAGAACGACATCCATTTTGGTTCTCTTGGTCAGCATTAGGTCTTCGTGGAAGAGAATTCTTTCTTTCACCATTTTTCTTTTCGTTTTCGATCTTTTTTTTTTCTATTTTTTTTTCACCGGTTTCACGTTTATTTTTTTTACTACCAGAATTTTCGGTTGAACTAGAATCAGTTCTTTTTCTTTTATTATAATTTTTGTCTCCCATATTTTAAAAAATAAGACAAAAGCAAAAGATCAAAACTCTTATGGTTATGAGCTTTATATGCTTTGTCCAAAAAAAAAAAAAATAAGCTTTTTGAACATGATTTGGTAATTACCAAACAGGATTAAAGGTATGTAGGTTAAGACATTTTTGTCATGTTACACTAGAACAACATAGTTGTTTTAACATTTTTGCTATAACTAAATTGAACAGGGCGTTAAAAATATCGGAAATAGCCCGTTCAATTATCCGTGATATGCGTGTGCAATGCCGATCAGCATTTAAAAATATCAGTCGATACATAAAATTTCGCACAATCCTATATGAGCGTGTAATATCCTGCATCATTACTAATAGTTAGCTCGAAAATTTTTAAATTAAAAATAAAAATAGATAAAATTAACTTATGGCAATCACACAATACAGGATTAACATTAAAAATATTTATTTTGTTCATAATCTTATATTGTTATTGGTAAATCTATTATTAGTTAAATAAAGTTATAATATCTTAAAAATAACAATAAAATCATATATAGTTAACTTATAAATGCACTCCCTTTGGACTAGGTATAAGGATGCATTTAAAGAGGGTATGCATTTATAGAATATATATAAACTATATAATATTAATCAAAAATTAAGGTAATACAAAAAATTTATAAGTAATCTATATTAAAATTTTTTATAAAAAGTGCATTTACAGAGAATATATATATAAAAATATGCATTTAGCACTAAGGTTTAAGTTGAAATCAGATAAAAAGGTGCATTTATAAAGGATGTGCATTTATAAAAGATGCATTTATAGAGAATTAACTATATATATTTTAACAAAAATACATTATATTTTAATAATAATAATCTTATAAATAGAACTTCAAATAGGTTTAAATAATTGATTTGAATAATTGAATCAAATTAGATCAGATTAGATTATTATATTAAATTATAATTTATATAAGTATTGATCTTTGACCATTAACTATTTTGCTAATTATTTGATCAAAATAATTAAAAAAATCTTTAAAAATATTTGAAGTATATTTAATATTATTTGATTGAAATAAATATTTTTATATTTAAATTATCATACTGAAATTATAGTATGAAATAATTGATTAATCAAATGCTTTTGTAAATATATTTATATTATTTTTTCCTAATAGCTTATAACTATCAAAACTTCATATGTTAAGATATTATATTATTTATATTATTTAATATTATATATTCTCAATAGGTTAATAACTAAGACTATAAAATATTATATAAAAATTGGTTAAAAATTTATATAAAAATTTAATAATAAAAAATGTATACAATTTAATAATAAAAATAGTTTATTATTACACAATTTTTGCAGTAATTTTTTTTTATTATTTACTTTATTTTCTTTCTTTAAATTAGATTCAATGATAAATAATTATAAATATTACAAAAAAAAAATTATAAACTTAAGTTTAAATTTTATGAAATTATTATTTTGAAATTGCTAATTAATAAAATTAAAAAATTTAAAAATAAGAAAATATTAGATAATTTATATATTAAAAAATAAAACATTTAATTACTTATTTAGATATATATAGAGTTTTAAATAAATCAAGTCAGATCAGATAAGAGCAGTAATATTTATTATGTAATATTTTAAAGGTAATTTAAAGGTCTTAATATATATAATATAATGTAAGATTATTATAATATAGAGAGAAAAGAATATAAGTTTATAATAATAGATATTATATGATAAATATAACTATTTTAATAACTTATTCTGATTTGTTATATATTTTTTATATTAGATTAAAAGTTTTCTGATAAAAATATAAATTTAATTTAATCTAATCAGCAAATTAAATTTTAAGTTAAATAAAAAAATAAAAGTATTGAATTTTAAAAGTTTATTATTTTTTTTATATATTAATTTATTTATTAAAACAATTAATTTTATTTAATTATTATTAGAAAAATATTAGAAATCAGCTAATTTCTTCATTTATAAAATCAAATCCTTATTTATTTTCTGATAATTAAATTTGATTAACTAAAAATTATATATATATTATTTATATTATTATATATATATTTTGTTTAAGTTATAAATTTTATTTAAAAATATTTTACAAACTTTTTCAAAAATGTATTTTTTTTTAATAAAAATTTAATATTAATTTATTATGATAATACATATATCATTAAATAGATAGATAATTAATTAAAATAATATTAAATAAATAAATAATAATTTAATAAATAATAGATAAAATAATAGATAAAATAATAAATAAATATATCTTTTATTTATAAATTTATTTTGTTAAAAAAAACTTTTAACAAGATTAAAATGATATTTATTATTAATAATTATTTTACAGTAATATAGTATAATAATAATTTTACAAATCTATTAAAAAATTACATTTTTGTATTTTATATTCTTTATATTTTTTTTTTAAAAAAAAATTAAATAAATATATAAAGTTTTTGAAAATATCTTACTTTAGCAAAGTTTTTTTTTATAAGTCACCTTAGAATTTATATTAAGAATTTTATAATGCATATATATATTATAATAAACTACACTATGTAAATTAAATTAAATTATAAAAAATTAATGCAAGAATATATAATATTTGAAAAGAAAATAGAAAGCGTTATATTAACTTTATTAAAAATAAAGTTTGTAATATTATAAAACTATTCCTTTTATATTTGTTTATATCAAAGATCTTTGTATTATGTAATATTATTATTAATTTTAAAATACAGCTATACTTATTATATATCCACTTTAAAAATACTATTTTTTACAATATAAGATAACTGAATATATTAAATTAACTATAAAAAATATATTCAAATGTTAATAAATAAATATTATTATAGATAATCTATTTAAAGATTTATTAATATTATAAATTACTAAATAATAAAATATTATATTAAAATAAAATATATAATTAAATAAGTTAAAATATTATGTTAAAGTATAAACAAAACTTATAATAAAAAATTTACCAAAAGAGAGAATTATAGATAGATATAATATTTCAAAAAAATTAACAATTATGAGAATTCTAAATTTATAAAACAAAATCTATAATGTATTGAATTTAAAACTGCATATACTAAAAAATAAAAAAGTTATTAAAGTTCAATAAATTATTTATACAAATAACTTAAAAAAATATAACAAACACATATTTTGTTAATGCTTATTAATTTATTTCTAATCCTATTGTTAAAATATATATTTTTGCATATTATTATCATTATTTAGTAAAAATTAGCTTTACGATATTAATATGAATAGAAATAAAATTTCATATAGATAATATTATTATCTAGCTTCCGTTAAAGCTGTTAAAATATTTGCTAAAGTTTTATTAATATTATCTCTTAAGATAATAAAATAAAAATCAGAATAAATATTATTATAATTTATTATACATTCAAATAATTCAAAGTATTAATAAATTATTTATTATTAAAAATCATAATTTTTTAGGTAATTTAAAATAAAATTTATATTTTTTATTTATCTGAGTATTAATTCAGCTAATTAAATAATATTTTATGAACTGATCAGTTTTTAAATTCTTAAGTTAAAATATTTTATTGAAATATCATTAATAATTTAAATTGCAGATTTAAAAAATATTATTACAAATAAAGAGTTTTCATTATTCTAAAAAAAAAGAAAAAAAGTTAAACCTATTTGATTTTTTTTTTGTTAATGATAAATTTGATAAAATTCAAAGTATATGAAAAATATTATTTAATATACTCACCTTTTTTATATTTTTAACCTGAATTATTTGACTATTTATATTTATGCTTTAGGTTAAAATACATATGATCTAATAGAATATAATATAACTTTTTTATTTGTAAAGTTTGCTGGTATTACTATATCTATAGAGAAATTTAGATTATACTTAAATAGTTAAAAGAATATAATAAATGAAAAATTAATATAAAAAAATTTTAAATATTTAAAAAAATTATATGATAATATATATGAAAAACTTGTAAATATAGAATAATATTAACTAAAAAAATCTGTTTATTGAACTTGATTCTTCAATATAGTAAAAATAAATTAAAAATTATATGCAAATTTATTATTATTTACTAGAAATAAAAAATACAAAAATCAAATTTTTTAATGAATATAGAATTCTAGGTGTTAATATTCTTTTAAATATGAATAATAAAATTTTCCTTCTAATTATAAAAAAAATTTGATTATTTTATCAATCTAATTTATATTTTTAATATTATAATAAACTTAAAATTTTAAAGTATGATAGTTATTATCTTTTAATTTTGTAAGAACTTTACTAGTATTTATATTACAATATATGCAAAAAATATTTTTCAAATTTTTATAAATATAAGCAAAATATGCATTTTAATATTGTAAATAAAAAAAAAGTTAGTGATAAATTAATATTATCAATAAATTGTATACTTATTTTATTAATCTAAATTTTAATATTACTGAAAATATAATTTCAGAAAGAAATTTGTGATAAAAAATTGAACAGATTTTTTATGAAGTTTAATTAAATAAAGATTAACAGTTTCTATCTGAAAAATTATGGCTTATATTAATTTTATGATAATCATAATAATATCATTATATTTGTAATATTACTATTATATATTTCTAAAAATAAGCAACATATGACACATTCCTCTTATAGTAATTTTTTTTATTAATTATATATTTTTATTATATTATTTATCATATAGATACTAATTAATAAATATTTGTCATGTATTGCTTATTTTCAAAAAAATATAGTAATTAAATTAAAGATAATCATCACAATTAAAAAAATGATATAATTTGAATTACAACTTATAATATAATTAAATTTATTTATAATGTAATTAAATTGTAACTATATTGAAATTTGAAAATAATTATAAATCTATTTTTAAATTTGATATTAAATGATAATTAGATATATTATTACTAATAATTTAAATTA